TACGAGACGTACTAGACGATCGGAGAGTCCTATCTTATATAATTTGAAAATAAGGCCTTCGTGCCAGACGCGGTCGAAGGCTTTGGCAATGTCGAAAAAGACCGCGATTGTCTTTAGTCGACGTGGATAAAAACCGCTGAGGACATATTCCACAATGCGGTGTACTTGTTGTGGACACGAGTGTTTCGCACGGAAACCAAATTGGTGTGGGATGACAAGGGGGTCACCGTCTGTGGGAAACAGATGGCGCCTCATTCGATTTTGAATGACTCTTTCAAAGAGTTTGCCCATGGCCTTTAGGAGGCTAATGGGACGATGACTGGAGGGGAGGTTAAGAGGCTTGCCTGGCTTGGGAATACCAATGACAATTGCCTCTTTCCAAGTAGTAGGAAAATAACTAAGATTGAAACAGGCGTTAAAGATAATAGATAAGAGGGTTAACACCTGCTCTGGAAAGTTTTTAAGGGCTTGGTTGGATATGCCATCCGCGCCCGGAGACTTTTTGGGCTTAAGTCCTTTGATGATGGATGAGATCTCATCATTGGACACAGTGATAGGGTCAGAGGATGTGGGGGGTGAGTTCCGGCGGACCTCATCTTCCACTTCCTGAATGTGTGAGGGGTCGACAGGTTGAGAGCTAGGAGAGCATTGTGCGGCAATGCTGTCTGCAAAGCACTCAGCCTTTTCGTCGTCCTCGAAGGCAACCGTACCGTCGGGGCGGGAGAGAGGGGGAGTGTGAGCTGTAGCGTCTATACGGAAGGCTCTAGCCATCTGATAGTACGCTGTATGAGAAGGAGTTATATTCTCCATGAGTTCACTCCTTTGGAGGTCTCGAAATTCAGAAAGGTGCATACGGAGTTTTCGTTGAAGACGATTAGCCGTATGCCTATATTCGGGGGTGGGATATTTAGCTGCTCTCCGGAAAGCAGCTTTTTTAGCTTTTAATATGTTGCTAATATATAGGGGAAGCCCATTAGTATTAGCAACCGGGACGACCCTTTCATTCTCCTTAAGGGAGGATTTAATTAGGGTTGAAAGTGATTCGACCGCGGTGTCGATTTTTACGGGACTGTCTAAGTCTAAATCCGACGATAGGTAATTAGGGGAGTCCTGCGAGTCCATAGCTTTTGCTAGGGAGTCCTTGAAACCTTTCCAGTTAGTAAAGGTTTTCGTAGTTATAATAGGGGGAGGCTGATGGCCAAGAATAAGGGAGACCGGTCGGTGATCGGATCCTATATCGTCTAGTGTCTCAATAGACCTGAGGTTGAGTGAAACTCCTTTGAGTAACGCAAAATCTAGTACATCTGGGTTTAAATCGGTAGCATCGGGATAGTGCGTTGCACCGAGCGGGCTGAAAACGGTTAAGTCGAGAGACTGCGTTATATCACGCAGTATCCTACCATTAGTATTAATCGTACGGCATGTCCATTCAGTATGTTTAGAGTTAAAATCTCCAAACATAATGACTGAATTACTAAGAGATAAGATTGCCTCAAAATCATCTTTGAGGGGGAGGTTTTTAGGGGGAATGTAACAGGAGGCTATGACTAAAGACTGATGTCCCGTCATAGATAACCTGCATAACGTAGCTTCCATATTGGTAAGCTGCGGAGTATCAATAAGAGAGCAATGTAGTGTCTTCTTGTAATAAATGGCCGTGCCACCGCCTCGGCGGTCGTGCCTATCATTACGAAGAAGAGAATAATTTTTAATGGATAAGCCTTTAGTGTCTTTATTTTTAAGGTTGGTTTCCTGTAAGAGGAGAAAATCAGCTTCGCGATCTTTAAGGAATAGCTTAAGCTCTGGGAGGTTATTTCGCAATCCGCGAATGTTAAATGAAATAAGCGATAGCCCTTTGGGCTTGATACGACCGTGACTTTTAGGCAGAGCGGAGGGCTCTGTCATTGTAAGCTAAGTTAATTAAGTTAACTTAACTTACAACGAACGCAATAGGTTACTGTGCTCTACGAGAGCCAGAAGACGGTCCTGAGGGGACCGCGCGGCGCGCAACTTGTTTGCTAATATAGCAACTTCATTAACGTCAATGTTTCTTATCGCGGCGTAAACCGTGTTAATGTCATCGGCGATTGTAGGCTGTTTCTGCTGCGGAGCAGAGGTTGCCTGCGGTGTTTCGACCTTTTTGGGGCCCCAGGGAAAAACTGGAGCCTGTGTAGGCTTTGAGAAGCCCGGAGGTGGCCTAATAAGTGCTTTTGGTGGTCTCGGGGGGTCTTGCAACGCCCTGAGACGGCTGAGATGCGCCCTGACGGGGCCTCCTAACATATAACGCCGGGAATGAACGGTCATTTACCGGCGGTGGGACCTGTCTAGTTATACGAGGACGAGGAGCGCACGGGCATCCTCTGTAGCTTGCCGGGTGGCCTGTCTGTTGACACAGGACGCACGCGGGCGGGGATACGGCATCTTTAGGCTGGGGACACTCTTTGGTGGTGTGTGGATCTAGGCACTTAACGCACCTGGGTGGGGCGGAGCAATTGGCCGCCGCGTGACCATATAGTTGGCAGCGGTGGCACTGCGCCGGGAAACCGCGCCTATGCGGTGACTCAACCCTAACTCCCGACAAGCCGCACACCGTGCGTACTTGCCGGAAGATGGTTTGCGCCTCCGGAACGTTGGTTAGGATGGCTAAGACTATCGGGTATCTCAGCCCGGTCCTACTGTGCATTTTATGAACAGCTTCGACGGGGAATCCTTGTGACTTAAGGTCATCAAGAATCTCCTCGTTGGAGAGTTCGAACGGGACGCCTCGGATGACGGCCTTGACTTTACGCTCTTCCGGAAGAGCGTATGTATGGTACGATACTCGTTCGTTAGTAAAAAGCCTAGTGAGTCGGCGAAAATCGTCAATAGATTGGGGAACTATTTTTATCGCTACGCCCATGTTCGTAGCTATGTCATATTTAATTCCAGAGTCGTAGCATACCTTGCTCAGTCTAGTGAACTCGGCCTTGTTTCTCAAAAAGACAGGGGGCGGAACTGGTTTTTTCGCGAGTTGCGGAGCGCAACGTGAAGCCGGCTTCGACGGCGCTGCAATATCTAAGGGGGTCGAGGCAGCGGCGGGGGCTGCGGAGGTAGACACGGCAGCGGCGGGGGCTGCGGGGGTGGGGGGAGCGGCACGGGCCGCTTCGGCGGGGGGCGAACGGTTTTTCGCGGCGCGCTTCGCTGCGCGTTTTGACGACACCGTGGTGTAAGACGTGTTAGAGTTGTTAGAGTCACCGGTATCATCGGAGTCAGAGGACTCCGATGTCCTGGTGCTAGACTTTTTAGCAGGCCTCTTCCGGGAGGCAGATATTGACGACGCGGTGTCGGAGTGAGAGCACTCCATGTCGATTTCTAGCGGCGCGAAAGAGTTTCGAGACGCGAGGTAGTCCGCAATAACGGGCGGCGGTGCCTGAACGGCGGGAGGAGCCAGAAGGGCTGAGATGGCTGCTGTAAGAGCTTGCGGGTCATTTTGGAACCTATGGTATGCATCGCGCACGTAACCTTTAAAATTCTGCGAGGACATTTTAACCGATTCTACAACAAAACTAAAAATAAACTAAAATTAGAACTATCGTATGGCTTGGGGGATCAGGGATCACCGTTCTGAAAAGAACGGGACGCTCTTAATCCAAGAAACAGACCCCTGTTCTCAAAAGAACAGGGACTTGCTCTGAAAAGAGCAAGTAACGTTTTACAAGAAACAGATACACGGAATATAATAAACAGATATGTAATAAAATATACTAATAAACTTATGCACTAGTATCTAGTGTTCTACAATATAAACAAGCGGTCAGCCAACCTCCCCGACCGAGGGCGGGGGGGTGAGAACTGAAAGTTAGCAGGAAAACACTTACCGGACTTCAGCGCTAGGCGCTCACTATCTGAAAAGCGCGAGGCGCGGAGCGGGGGGCACTAGCGTTGGGACGCTAGGCACGCGAACTACCTGTACACAACCGCTCGGGGGCGGTGCGACAGGCGGAATCCCTGTCCACCAACCACATAAAAAGTTTGCTTTTAAATTTACTAAGAGGCAATGACTTTATGTCGCTAGGCAGTTTGTTAAACACCTTTATTGCCATCGAGTAACAGCTCTTATGAGAGGTTGCCTTCTTTCTAAATGGAAGAACTAGTTTTTTTGCGGGCAAATTCCACTCCTTGCGATTTCTTCACTGAAAGATTGTGTCTGTTCTTGAAACCAAAAAAACAATCTTTGCCAGGTATTCCTTTTTTAAAGGGTGTTGACAGGCCGTATGTCTTCACATAAACACCAATCATTTCCAAGATTTCTTGTCTACTTAGCCGGAATCCGTGCCTTTCCATCAAGTTTAGCAAAGAAACTAGATTTTTTTCAACCTGTAGAGACAAAGCCGTATTCCTGCCAAGAGTATTGGAATTTAATAGGACGACGGATGGGATGGGACGCAGCGAGCCCGCAGACGGGTGCGCCGTACACCCCTCCACACCGCGTGCACACTGTACACCCGCGGCCCTGTGCGGTTCTCACCACCCAGAACACCGAACGAAACGAGTTTGCCGTCAGAGCCGCGGCCCGCCACCCTTGTTCGGACGGCCGTTAGATAACTCAACTATGTCACGACGTGTTTTTTTTTTTATAGGACACACGAGCACACAGTCCACCTGATGGTAAGTGGTTGCTGTGGCCCATAGACATCTACATTTATCCTCGTCTGCGAATCAAAATGCAGATGCGTTGTCACCCGTGCCACATGTGCCACAGCAACCACTTACCATCAGGTGGACTGTGTGCTCGTTTGTCGCCCTTATCCTATAAAAAAAGAACCCTACCACCCAGTAGAAGTTAGACTGATGAAGAAGAAAATTCTTTTTCTTAGAAACATGAGTAATTTCAGTTCTTATAAGAACCTTGTTATTTTAATTTAATATCATATCAACATTTATTTAAAAAATTATTTACATACATCACTATCTAAACTATTATTAATTTATAAACCGAAGGTAGTTAACAAAATCTCGCTTCATGTCGATGCTTCTTTCGTCCTGCTATTCATATACGTGGTGACAGCTTTAAGTCCCTCTATGTTAGCGTGTTTTGCTAACTCTCCAGGAACGAGCAGTTTTATGGCCGACTGTATCTCTCTACTGCTTAGCGTGGTCTTCTTTGAATGTAACATCAATCTCGCCGCTTCCTCAGCGATCCTCTCCAACATGTCGTTCACGAAATTGTTCATTATCAGCATAGACTTTTGGGATATACCCATATTCTCCTTCGCTACGGTTTTCAGTAACTTATAGATGTAAATTGAAAAGCTTTGGTAGTTTTTCTTCTTCATCTTCTTTCTTTTTGATATTGGCTTCTCTAGTGGTTTCTCCATCGATTTTAACGCTTTTTTCGGTTGTTTCACTGGGGCCATTTTAAAATTCCTTTTTTAAATTAATTTTTTTACGAAAATATAGGCGTTGTTTGAAACTTACTTGTATAGTTTTTAAAGGTATCACAACTAGTGCGTAATGCTACACGATGGTTATTCGTTGAGCGACAAACATACTTACTTTCTCAACATGTTAGTAAGACGTTCTCTATTTTCTGTGACGTTAATGCTGTTAGACAGTTGGCGTTTACATGTTCATTGGACTCAGGGCTAGCGACGTTTCAGGCCTGAGCATAATTTAAAAGTGAAGCCAGAAAAAGGAATACTAAAATGCAAATCTAGTATTCTTTTTTTTATAAGATTGGGTGATATATTTTCACATAATTTTTTTTTCGCACTAGTGAACCGAATTCCGGATCACACTAGTGAACACTATGGGCTGCTATTATTATTATTTTTTTAGTTTCTCTTCATTTTTCTACTAACTCTGTCTACTTACTTATTTTGTTATCTTAACGCACTTCATTCATTTATTCATTACAGACAATCAAAAATCTATTACTAATGACAAGTGGTAAAACTTTAAAAATTTTGTACAACCGACTTCAATATAAATTATTAAGGATAACTCAAAAACTACTAATCAAACCTTTATTAAAATTACATCAGACCACCTGAAAAGCACCAGCTTTCAAATGAAAATAGAATCATCAAATTCGGATCATCTAGAGAAAAGTTATGAGGTAACACACGTTAAAAAAAACATACAGTCGAATTGAATACTTTTTGAAGTCTGTAAAAAATAGGCCTTCCCTGTAGATTCAGATTGGAATCCACTACCATATATCATCCTGTGGGTGTCGAAAGGCCTGTGTTCAGCAGTGGACTTTTGATAGGTTATTCATGATGATGAGTGCATCTAACTAAACGCACCCCTAGATTGAAAGGGATTCCTAACACCTTGTAGTGAAGTCATTATTGATTGAAAAAAAACCGTAACCCCAACTCTAAAATTTTCTCCTGTATCCTGGATGCAGTTTATATACATAAATTTCACATAGACAAATATCCATACAAATAATTGTTCCGTGCGTGATTCATACTAAACTACACGGAGCCGTCAAAATATTTAAACTATGTTTTATTTCAATAAAACTGCAAAACGAAAATCAATTGCTAACATTTGGTCATTCGTCTTCACGCTACTTTTTAAGCATAATGTAATTTTAAGGGAGCATATAGTAGTGTCATATTGAGAGCATATCTATGTCTATCTTGTATTCTTGTATTAATTAATTAAAATCAAATCAAACAAAATCATCGGAATAATTTTATTACTACTGTAGAGGGTAGAATTATGTTAAATGAAACGACATTCAGCCACAATATATCCGCGCCATTTTTACAACAGACGCAGATTAAATAATAATATAATATGGAAGTATTGTGGATGGTTTTTTAAGTAAATTGTAAGAGTTAAAGAAGTTATAGATCTAGGCGTTCGACTAAAGAGTGAATTATCATTTAGGGAACACATTATCTATTGCTGCAAAAAAGCCTATAGAAATTTGGGCTTCATTCTTCGCACAGTTCACGGGTTCACGAACATTAAGGTATTATCACTCTGTATAACACGCTGGTAAGAAGTAATCTGGAGTGTAACGCCTTAATATGGTCACCGCACGAAAATATGTATAGTGCAATGCTGGAACGTGTACAAAATAAATTTATTAGATACTTATATATGCGCTATTATGGAATCTACCCTATGTACCCATTAATGTACCCAACTTTATTTATTCTGGGTATGGAATATATAAAAAATTAAAAAAATACCTAGTATTTGCCTTATATATTTTTAAAATGCTTAGAGGAAAAATATATAATAGTGACATATTGGGGCAACTTGAGCTGTGTGTTCCAGACGGGTAAGTATGGAAACTGCGGCGGCCGCGGCAGCTGTCTGTGCAGCGAGCCCGTACCAATCTACTCGGTAAGGCGCCTTTAACGCGAACATTACGCATTCTTAATAGAATGGCTGAAGACATTGACCTATTCTATTACACCTTGAGTGAATTCACTAGGGTAGGATTGTTTACAATATGTTGTTACAGTTAATGACCACATTTTTATTATGCATGAAAAGAAATACACTGTCGCATTAGGTTTTTTCCCTGTCATGATAGTTGTTAGTTGAAATAAATAAATATAACCTATATAGGTAATCCTTTTTTATCCTTTGTATCTAGAAAAATTTGGTTGCTAATAAACGTTATTTTATTTATTTATTTATTCTAACACATTCCACATTTCTGGCCTAAATGATGTAATCGTTACAATAAAAAAAGCCTTTGAGTGGAGAGGAGAGGAAGTCGCATCTTCTCCCCGTTTGTACTGAAGCTAAGCGGAGAAGTGATGGGTGAATAATGTAATTGGCCGTTTAAGTCACACCTCTCCTCTCCATCCATCGCTTTTGGATTCCCTTCACGTTTATTGACGTTCCGTGTCAAATTTAGCAACACTTGTGTAAGTAAAAAATAATAATGTCAGATGTAATCTCTATATGAAACACCATTATAAATACATAATATTCATTATTTAATTGTGCTTAATTTCATTCCATTTTTATCTAAAAGTTAAAGTTAAAGTTTTCTCCTCATTTAAGTTAAATTCCTCTCCATATTTCCGAAAGTATTGTTAAATAGTTTAATCGATTGATTAATTAAAACCAAACCAAACATATCATCATAATAATTTTATTACTACTGTAGAGGGTAGAATTATGTTAAATGAAACGACATTCAGCCACAATATACCCGCAATTAATTGATATTTTAGCATAGAGACCGATTCGTACACGTTATAAAAGCCCGCGTGAACTGTCGCATTTCACTACGTTTACGTGCGCCAAAATGACAGGTCGTGGTAAAGGAGGAAAAGGTCTTGGGAAAGGTGGTGCAAAACGCCACCGAAAAGTCCTTAGAGACAACATCCAAGGTATAACAAAACCTGCGATTAGAAGACTGGCTAGACGTGGAGGAGTTAAAAGAATTTCCGGCCTTATATATGAAGAAACCAGGGGCGTTTTGAAAATCTTCCTCGAAAACGTCATTCGCGACGCTGTAACGTACACGGAGCACGCGAAAAGAAAAACGGTAACGGCTATGGACGTTGTCTACGCGTTAAAACGGCAAGGCAGAACGTTATACGGTTTTGGAGGTTAATTTATTAATTAAATAAAGAGAAATTATAATGTGTATTTGTGTTTTCTAATTTATTCTCGACATTGACAAGGTCCTTTTGAGGACCGCAATTTTTTGTTTCTTTTGGACGTCAAGTTACTCAAATTATGACATTCTGCCGCAAACTAATAAGAAATAGGAATATTCCGTTAATAACGCCTATAAATAGTGACCTTATTTCACCCCCTAAGGGTTTTAATTTTTCAAAATATATTCTTGGGATGCCTACATAATACAAGCTTAATGAAACCTTAAATTAAAAAAAAACCCGACTGCGTTGAAAAGTTTACATTTTTTTTGTATTTGCAGATGCAATATATAAATACTAGTCACTCCCACAATTAAGACTTATCTAAAGACACCTCATTAAAATAAACAAGGCGTTTAAGCTACAGAACGTTCCAAAAAATAGATATAGGTACATATGTACTTTAAAAGAAACATTAATGTACTTTAAAAGAAACATTACCCCCCTTCTGGAGCAGTCGGGTAAAAATGTTATAATAAATTAATAGCACCGCATAAATATGTGTAACCATTTCTTTAATTGTTTTACTAATATTTACGACCGTGCGAAAAACATATTCCTTATAACCAAATACTTCTATGCATACTTGTTATATTATCTATCTATATACTTAATATAATAAAGCAGAAGAATTTTTTGTTTTTTTGTTTGTTTAAACGCGCTAATCTCTGAAACTACCAGTCCGATTTGAAAAATTATTTTTGTATATTATAGCCAGATTCATGTGGAATAGTATAGGCTATCTAGCATTAAGCTATATTACTCGTCTAGCCTTAGATATGGATATTTGTTAAGCAAGTCAGAAGAAAAAGCACTCCCGAAATGAATTATCCGCGTACGCTGGTGTCATCGTTAGAGATACCTACGTAAATGCAATGTTCTAGAAAAATATAGATCTTCACTTTGTCTAAAAAAAGTCCGCGACACCATATGTCTATTTCTTATACATAAGCCATAATTAAGTATTTTGTGACAAAAAATATTGAAAATTAAAAAGTGATTTATGAGCGTTATTATTAGGCATGGCCTATTTATCCTTACGAACGAAAGTTACTTCATCATCAAGATAATTTTATGAAGATAAACTTTGTTCTTTATACCATGTTATTTGGACGCATAGTTTAAGAGATAATGTAAAATTAAAATAATTCAATACTTGGCTGGGCGCGTGAACGACGCATAAACCCTAGCCGCCCGGTGAGAAGTGCGAGTAGCTAGTAGATATTGAAAGCTTCTATGAGCGAGGGAGCGAGGTTAGTTCAATCATTTAGCTAAAATAAATTAAAAATTAATTGAGTACTTTTATGACCATGATTAGTTACATCTTTATTTCTGAACTCTTTCATTTCACGTTGCTATGGTATTTTGAAAATTTAATTGATTAATAAGTATAAGAGATTTTTCCATACATTTCTATCAAATAAAATATTAAATTGCAATTATAAAATACTTGAACTAGGTCATGTCGTGCACCTCCGACACGTGATAACGCGGGTGAAACCGCGGGGCACAGCTAGTAACTTATAAATACGCTAATCATAGACCCTGCTTTTCTGCCGATTTCCAAAAAGGAGGCGGTACTTAATTCGACTGTATGTTTTTTTTATGTGTTTTACCTCATAAATTTTTACTGGGTAAAGATGATTATTTTTTTATTTGAAAGCTGGTACTTCTCGTGTGGTCCCATATGAATTGATCAAGGTCAGACCAATAGTTTTTGAGTTATTCTTAATAACTTATATTGAAGTCGGCAGAACAAAATTTTTAATTTTAAATTATTACTACCACGCTTGCTATAATGTCCTTTCTATCCAGTTCAGACTATCACATTAACTTAGCAGAGAAAAGGTATCTAAATAACCATAATTATACTGTGTAGTGGCGGTGTAAGAATATCCACTAACCCTAACCCATATCGTCTCGTGTGTGTCGTAACATAGGAGAGCGAGTAGAGAGTACTTCCATTTGGGATCAAATAGGAATTTGATAGTGACAGCAGACTAGACGATCGATATATCTTAAATTAGTTCTTATAGTTTATTGAATAGTACAATCGTCGATGTGTCTAAAATAAAAATGAAGTGTCTGTCTGTAATATCGAAATAACTGGCTTCTATTAGGTCTTTATACCTATGAAATTGCCGTTTTTAATGAAATGAATTAACGTATTTTTTTCTATATTTTTAATTTCTTTTAATCAAAGTAATCACCCGTGCAATCGATGCAGCTTTGCCAACGCAGTGGCAGTTTATTGATGCCCTTCATGAAGAAAACAGGGGGACGAGAGAGGCAACACATTTTTCAAAGGCATTTTGTACTGCCTCTCGTGTTTTGAGTTTTTTCCGCCAAAAAGTTATCCGAGTTCTGGAAAAAGTAGAAGTTTGTAGGCGCAAGGTCTGGTGAGTAAGCCGGATAACGGAGAGCTTCAAACCCCAGCTCTTGTAAGGTGTATGACGTCTGTTGTACAGTATGAGGTCGCGCGTTGTCATGTAGAAGGGCCGAGCGATTGACCAAAGCTGGTTGCAGACTTGCGAGCTTCTCCCTCATTGTGTTCAGTTCTTCACAGTACACATCTGCAGTAATGCTCATCCCGTTTGGTAAGAAGCTGTGATGAAGCACATCAGCGCTAGACCACCAAACAGTGACCATCACTTTTCTAAGGGTAAGTTTTCATTTAGAGCATGTTTAGGTGCTGAACCAGGATCCAACCAACTTGCTGAGCGCTTGCGATTGTCTAGCAGAATCCATTTTTCGTCGCAGGTAACAATGCGTTTCAAAATTCCTTCGTATGTGTGCCTGTTGAGCAGTGCAAGGCACGTCTCGACGCGTACTTAGCGCTGGCAATCATTGAGTTCGTGGGGCACCCATTTGTCAAGCTTTTTTACCTTGCCAAATTGACACAAATGGACCAATATTGTTTTGATGCTAAAGTCGAAAGCAGCTGCTAAATCAGCCGTAGATTGAGTATCATCAGCTTCCACAATCGCCTTTAATTCGTCGTTGTCGACCAAAGATTTCGGATGACCACGGGTTTCATTTTTCAGGTCTAAATTTCCAGAACAGAAGCATGCAAACCAATAACAGGTGGTGCGTTCCTTTGTAGTACTCGCTTCTATGACTAGCTCCGTAAACGTCGTTGATGTTGCATGCCGCTTGTGCCGTGTTGCTGCCACGACGGTACTCGTATTCCATAATTATTCGAATTTTTAACGTATCTATGATGACGAATAATTTAAAATTAAAAATTTTGTACAAACGACTTCAATATAAATTATTAAGAATAACTCAAAAACTATTGTTCAGACTTTGATCAAATTTATATGGGACCACATGAGAAGCACAAGCTTTCAAATAAAAAAAGAATCATCGAACTCGGTTCACCCATACAAAAGTTATGAGTTAGCACACATAAAAAGAAAGAAAAACATGGTCTAAAAGAGTACCTCCTCCTTTTTGAAGTCGGTAGAAAATATTCAAATCCGATGAAAACATAACGCTAATCAATAAACAAATGACTAATTTTGAAAAAAAGAATCCGATAACTAAAATTACTTTTAAACATAACTCAATTTAAATTACATTTTAATTTAAATTGAGTTATGTTTAAAAGATCGATTGATCCATTCCCTGAATCATAACATTTTAAAATAGACTTACCCTCAAAATTTTGATATCTGATAGTGGTTTATTATAAATTATCAAAGAGGAGTGGGGATAACCAAACACTATATAAGCCTGGAGTTATTATTCTACAGTTCACCACGTTTATTACTTCAAAATTAAGATTGATAAAGACTATAAGAAAATGGCGCGAACCAAGCAGACCGCTCGCAAGTCCACTGGCGGCAAAGCACCAAGAAAACAATTAGCAACTAAAGCTGCTCGAAAAAGCGCTCCAGCGACTGGTGGTGTGAAAAAACCTCATCGCTACAGACCGGGCACCGTCGCATTGCGAGAAATAAGACGATATCAGAAAAGCACTGAGTTGTTGATACGAAAACTACCATTTCAACGCCTGGTTAGGGAAATAGCGCAAGATTTTAAAACAGATTTGAGATTTCAAAGTTCAGCGGTGATGGCGTTGCAAGAAGCAAGCGAGGCATACTTGGTTGGACTGTTTGAAGACACGAATCTTTGCGCCATTCACGCTAAAAGGGTTACCATAATGCCCAAAGACATTCAACTCGCTAGAAGGGTCCGTGGCGAGCGCGCATGATTCGCGCCATTTTTACAATCGACGCAGATTAAATAATAATATAATATGTAAGTATTGAATTAATATAACCTATATAAGTACTGGATTACGTTTTCCACTGACAAAGCCCTTCTCAGGGCTGCAGCTTTTGCCAGTTTCTTTAGTAAACGTCTATAATAAATTACCCTCTGTTGGAACATTAATTTTCCGATATTTTTATTTAAAAAAAAAGACACAGTCACTGAAAACAATTTAATACCACATTGAAAATTGCTACACTCTTAGAGTGTAGGTGTTAAGTGCTTATGTATACTGTAAGACTACCTACATTTCACTTACCGGTACGAGGCTGTAACTCCAGAACCTTTCATCCCTATTGGTTGTCGGTTCTTCGACCTATATGGCGGCTCTCCATTAGATGGAATGACGACCTCGTAAGACATGCAGGTGGCTCAAGACCGTGTTCTATACCATTCCTTGGGGTAGGCCCATATTAAACAGTGGATTAGGCTACACGAAAACCGCCGAATGAACATTAAACGAGAATAAATTTAACCATGCAACCACCTTTAAAATAATAGTATATTCTATCTTCTAACACATTCCACATTCCAAGCTTAAATGATGTAATCGTTACACTCCACCAAAGCGAAGATGGGTGGAGAGGAGAGGAGAGACAAATGAAGTCTCATCTTCTCCCCGTTTGAATTGTATCCACTGAAGCTAAGCGGAGAAGTGATGGGTGTAAGTGATGTAATTGGTTGTTTAAGCCACATCTCTCCTCTCCATCCATTGCTTTTGGATTCCTATCACGTTTATTGATGATCCGTGTCAAATTTAGCAACACTTGTGTAAGTAAAAAATAATAACATTTAAAATAATCATGTCAGATGTAATCTCTATAAATACAAAAAATTCATTATTTTGTTTTTCTAAAAGTTAAAGTTAAAGTTTTCTCCTCGTTAAAATTAAGTTCCTCTCCGTATTTCCGAAAGTATTGTTAAATCGTTAAGAGAAACCTAATAAATATATTTTTTCTCGTTATAATTAAAAAATGCTATTTTTAATCGCTCCGAACAATCTCATATACATGCCTACATACCTACTCGTAAATAAAATGGATGAACCCCTCTCACCACCTCATACAGTGTCTTTAGAACACTGATTTTTTGAAATAAGAAACATCATCATCATTATAGCTCTTCGCAAGTGAAAATAACCCCCTGCATTTATTTTTTTAAATGATAAGTTGACAAACGAGCACACAGTCCACCTGATGGTAAGTGGTTGCTGTTACCCATAAACATCTACATCTAGCCTCAATAAAGAATCAAAATGCAGATGCGTTGTCACCCGTGAGAACTAAGATGATGGGATGCCTCTTTTCCAGTAAAAAGGGTCTCCGGTTCTCTACCTGCCATTTTATGCTGGTATTCTGTGAAAACGTGGTCCTTCCCCGATCGAGCCGACCCATTTGTGCTACAACTATACTACTAATATAGCTGCAGCATGGCTCTACAGCGTATAAAACGTCATTATATATGTGTATGTCGTCTGGTGGCGACTCAAGAGTATTAATGATCCCATTTTTTGCCATGGGCATCGCAAAACGTGCGAGACATCTGTTAATACAATCGCCATTTGCCTGCCAAGCGAGGTTATTACAGAAAATACTTTCCAGAATTTCAAGCAGATGGATACTTGTCCAGCATGCAGTGGTAGATTGTTAAGGGCTGATTTACGTATCGTACGTACTGATCTGACATACTCAAGCATTCATCATTCATTTTTAATTTATTCTTTTATTAGGGCATATTAAAAGTCCACTGCTGATGATAGGCCTCCACTATACATTATCTCATAGGAGGGATTTGGCCACAGTCGCCACGCTTGGCAGGCAATATGGCAACCGCTTTGTTTTTATTATTTTTGGTTTTATCAAGAAGATCCTGCTGCCCATTGCATGTTTCAATTTCCCTCTGTCGCCTCTTACGACACCCAGGGCCGATATGAGGTAGTGGATAGTTTGACACACTAGCAATTAAATATTGTGTACCTAATTTTTTTTTTATAGGATAGGGTGACAAACGAGCACACAGTCCACCTGATGGTAAGTGGTTGCTGTGGCCCATAGACATCTACATTTATCCTCGTTTGCGAATCAAAATGCAGATGCGTTGTCACCCGTGAGGACTAAGATAGAATGCCTCTTTTCCAGTAAAAAGGTTCTCCAGTTCTCTACACTCACCATACGAAACACAGCAGCATGAAGCTGCTATTTTACGCTGGTATTCTGTGAGAGCGTGGTCCTTCCCCGGTCGAGCCGACCCACTCGTGCTACAACTATACTACTAATATAGCTGCAGCATGGCTCTACCACGTATAAAATTACAAAAAATACAAAAATAAAAAAAATACAAAAGATTTGTTACAATTCTGGGTATTTCACGCAATTTTCAACTCACAATCCTACCTAACGATAGTCTGAATTCTAATATGCCAAGGATAAGCAAGGTAGATATTGACGACAGTTTGTGACAAAAGAAAAAAGTCGACTAAATGCTTTGGGAATTAAAGCCCCTTTTTTGGGAGAATTCTAGGCCGAGCAGCCTCATTTAGACGTTCCACCAGAAACAATTATAATGCAGCCCTAAAAAGGGCTTTGTCCTTCAGGTCATTTATTCGACCTACATCAACAAAAAAAATTAACAAACATACCTACATTAACAATAAATAAAATTGCAGAATAAATACAAATCATAAATTAAGTTCTATTGGGACGCGTTCTTAGTAGTTTTCTTCGGCAACAGTTGGGGTTGAATTGATGGAAGCACTCCAGCTTGAGAAATGGTTACCTCGGACAGCATTTTGTTCAGTTCGTCGTCGTTACGTATAGCCAAGAGTATGTGACGTGGTTTAACTCTGCTCTTATTGTTTTCTTTTGCTGCATCTGCCGCCAGTTCCAAAATCTCAGCAGAAAGATATTCCAGGGCTGCGGCGAGGTACACCGGAGCGCCGCTCCCTATCCTCTGAGCGTAGTTACCCTTTTTTAATATCTTGTGAATCCTTCCAACTGGAAACTGAAGGCCGGCACGAGAAGAACGCGATTTTGCCTTGCTTCTTACTTTTGTAGACATTGTTTTTGTTTCACTTTAAACTATTTTTACTGATATGTTTACATCAAGAAACGAAGTTAAACCCTACTGATGTTTATATTTTGAGTTGTCGACTTTGTGGGTATTGCGTGTATTGTTATTATCTATGTGTACGTATGTTGTATATCTAGTAAAGGATATTCCTACACTATTAATGAGCCATTTTATAAAATATGCGTATGTAATTGGTTTCTCGGGAACGTCACTAAAGATTTGGATAAAATTATGTATTATTTAAATTTATAATAATGTTTTACTTTCTAAGTTTATCTTTTATATAAAAGATAAACTTTGTAAAACATATGTATTTTTTTATACAGGTTTCTCGAAACTCAACGTAAAGCGGGTACCTGGCGACAGGCTAGATTAGTTTGGCAAAAAAAAAACAGGGGGGAAAAGCCATTTGACTTGGTTAAGTGATAATAGGAATGTTTTCGAAAATGATGAACATTGACATCCTTACCAACGATATTTTCTTTTATATATACCTACATATCTAGCCTTAGACCACATCTTTGTAGGTACTTAGGTGATCACACATTTCATAATTGCAGTTTAAAATTGTCCTGAATTGATTCGTTCCTGAATTGATTAAAGTCACAAATCCAGTAGGTATTGTTTTTTGAAAAAGAGAAGTTTGATTGAGTCATAATAAAAAAAATTACATTTCAACTTTTAAAAAAATATTACACTACCCTGGGTAAATTATTTCAAAAATAGCCCATTTAATTAGAAGTATAAATTGGTACAACACTTGCCCATAAAATTAGAATTTTATTATGTAGGTACTTACCTACTTTTAGAAAGAAATAGGTGTCTGGGTGTAATCTCCTCTCACTACAATGGGCGAGGCCCATATTCCGTTCATGAAGAAAAACAAGATGAATAATATATTTTTTTTATAGGATCGGGTGACAAACGAGCTCACAGTCCACCTGATGGTAAGTGGTTACTGTGAGCCATAGACATCTACATTTATCCTCGTTTGCGAATCAAAATGCAGATGCGTTGTCACCCGTGAGGACTAAGATGGAATGCCCCTTTTCCAGTAAAAAGGGTCTCCGGTTCTCTACACTCACCATACGAAACACAGCAGCGTTAAGCTGCTATTTTACGCTGTTTTGCTGTGAGAGCGTGGTCCTTCCCCGGTCGAGTCGACCCATTCGTGCTACAACCATAATATAGCTAGCTGCAGCATGGCTCTACCAATCTACTCTATTAGTGATTATTATAGAAAATATCGTTTTAAACCCGTTTTATTTATAAATATGGTTTGATAGGTAGATTAAAAATATCCATCCCGATCTTTATAAAATTCTGTATTCATTTCTCGGTACAGAATCATTTTATTGCTCAATATGCTGTTGCAAAATTGCAACAAAAATAATTTTATGTTCATATATAAACAACATGTCAAGGTCATTATCAATTTCTAATGTTTTTGTCAATGATAAAAGTACCTTAAAATGCGGGCTTTACCAACGACCGGTGCACGGGCAGGGCTTACAAACCTTTGGATTATGAAACCACAACAAAGTGTATAAACTTATAACTGGTGCTATTTGAGGTGTTATATCGATCAAAAAGAAAGTCTTACTCTTTATTGCAATAGCTATGCTACTTTACGTTAACATAATAGCGTAAAGTAGCTATGCTACTTTACGTTAACATAATAGCTATTGGTAGATTTTAATAAGTTATTCATAGGTATAAAGCGTTTACTACGAATTTCAAAACTAGGTGACCGAGGTGCTTATACTATGCTATATATGCCCCTTTATTTTTCCGTTACAGCCTATTAAAGTCCACTGCTGAACATAGACCGAGGGGATATTTACCATAGTTGCCACGGTTAGCAAGCGGGTTGGCAACTGCAGTTTATTATTTTTTGTCGTTATTAGGAAGCCGCTGCTGCCCATCTTCTGATTTGTTTCCCTCTGTTGCCTCTCCTACGACATCCACAGGATTATATGGGGTAGTGGCTATTCTTACACCACCATTATGCAGTAATTTATTTATTGTTCAGTAAGGTTATAATTTATTTGATTGATAACTTTTAACTGACGATTAGAAAACCAGCCCTAAGTAAAATTGCTTTTATACTTGGATCTTGAAAAATTGATTGTAGCTCTGCGTGCCGACAGCAAATCAAATGTAACGAATTTTTTTCTCCAATAGTGTTAGTTTCTTTCTGTAAAGAGATCCAGTATAATTATAGGCTGCGAGACATTCCATGTTTCATCTCAAAAGTAACAAGTATACCTTGTTACTAGTCTTGTTGTAGTCTTCTTTTTTGAAGAAGGTTTTAGGCTGCAGCAGCAGTTACTTAGGAGGACTGTAAATACGTTAGATATTTTCGTTTTTAAAACGTATTTAGTGAGTTAGGCAAACTGCGACTAAGAATTCTACTGATTATATTCTGTACAGAATTCACCAAACATAAATAAAGGTCTCCAATCCGCCTGCGATGTGTTGCAACTCTCAATGACGGCTAATAACTTTCTGCTCACCAGATGTCGCTAGTTGACATTGAGGTAAAGTTTTTTGGTTACATAATGTAATTTTATTGTGAAGTTGTTTTTTAAAAAAAGTTTATCAGTTTCTAAAGTATTACCTATATTAATACACAAAACAATACGTCAGTGGTTTACTCTTTAATTTTTTGCATATTTTTAACTTTTTTTTAATTTTTCTATTTTTAGGAATATCTGTGGTTTGGCTTATTTCTTTTTAATGTTATTTAATTAAAATATAGCTAATAGTATAGAAAGAAACAATAACTTTTACATTTTCCGACCAAATTAACTTCCCCGTTATGAAATCTATCAAATATTATACCTCATTTTCTAGTGGCGTCGCCCTGGTGGCAGAAAAAGTCGTGGGTGCCCTCATTATGGCAAATCCATCCTACAACGGTAAAGATCGATAGATAGACTTTACGGGTTGATAAAGAAAGAAAAAGATAAGGGATAAATCCGGCTTCCTATATCTTCACATCTGGGTTTACAATAATCAGCTTAGTTTTGTAAGACAAAATTATTAGATACTAGTCAAAATTACGTCTAATTCGTGATGCGCGCCAAAAAATTAAATATATGTTTTAAACAAATCCTTAAATGATTGGCTACCTCTGCTCGCAGCTGTGAGCCGCAGCTGCTTGCGACCGTTACGCGCGGTAAGCACGTGCCGTCGCCCCTCACACATTATTATTATTACTACTCAAACTATTCGAAGTCGTTGAATAAAGCACTCCGATTAAAATTTGGAAACTAAAAGTTGAAAATAATACTTGCCTTAAAATCTTATCTAGGTAGTAAAATACTTGATTGATTTTTTCACATTTTCCTGTATTCATTTATAACGCTCTCACAGAATACCAGCGTAAAATAGCAGCTTAACACTGCTGTATTTCGTATGGTGAGTGTAGAGAACCGGAGACCCTTTTTACTGGAAAAGGGGCATTCCATCTTAGTCCTCACGGGTGACAACGCATCTGCATTTTGATTCGCAAACGAGGATAAATGTAGATGTTATGGGCCACAGCCACCACTTACCATCAGGTGGACTGTGTGCTCGTTTGTCACCCTATCCTATAAAAAATATAATAATTAAGATTATTACATATAATTAACTAGAATATATGTAATTAGATATTAGATTATTTTAATTATATGTATGATATTAATAAAATCAGTCCGTACTTTGAATTCCTATAATTAATTAATTTTTAATTTAGTGTGTCGTAAATTTCTAACAATCATAGAAAACTAAGCACACCTGTTTTTAAGCCTTTAAAACCATTGAACTGACTTCTATTATTTACAAAATAAGTAATTCCATGTCCTGGTCGATCTAGCCTTTTCCGTGAGTCAAGGTGCAGGTGCTATTTATAATTTTATTAGGTAAAGGACCTTTGAGTATTCTGCCAACAACCAACATTCATTCACCTATAACTATTTGTCAATTTAATTAGTTAACATTTTATTTTCTGTAGTTGGTACTGCAAATTTGATATTATGTATATTTCCCTACTTTTTGCATCGTTTGGAGACGCCGCAAGCGAATCCGTCACTCTATTTTGTTGATTTCATTCCGTGATCTTTACAAATAAATAAAATTGAAGTGTCTGTTTGTAATGTCAAAATAACAACTTTTTGCTAAATGCATATGAACATAGATTACATAGGCACATCCACCATACAAACGAGCATCGAGTTCCCTGAAATTTGTATGTCAAAAATAGAATACTTATCCAGTTTAGCCATGCCCAGCAGATTTGTATCCAATATTTTTTTTGTGTTCGGTATTTTGTTATAGAGCCTAGTTCCAAACTTTTCCATGAAACAAACGTGAATACTGTAACGACGATTAGTTCGTGATTAGTTATTTCTGTTAGATCCACGAATCGAACCTTCTTCATTTGGTCATCACCACATCTGATGAGAAAATTTATATTGTTGTTTTCATAAAATATCTCAATGAGTTTTCCATTTTAAAATTTTTAATTATTTTAAGACTTTCATAGTTTAGTCGATAGTACACAAATTCGCCCCTTTCCGTTGGTCAGAATCGAACCCATTAAGTTATTATGCAAGCTTTAACTTATTTACCACTACTATTACTACACGGCTATATATACTTTAGTGCTATATTATAAATGTAATTATTAAATAATTCTGGTTCAGTGAGCTTACGTCCTTTTGTCGAATAGCAGTTGTAGAGGGAAACTGTTATTGATTGCATACACAGTTGAATTACCTAGGTATTGAGGTTGAAAATCAATTAAATGTAACGGAGCTTTCGAAATTGGAATGCGTAGGGCGCGTGCGCGTCTGTTTATCGAGGGGTTGCGTTTGCGCCATTTCCGAAAGCCTTTTTTATTTGGAATCCCCTACGTCAGTTGACGGTTGATCGTTGAACGGTTAAGACGACGTGTATATTAAAGTTTAGTGATAATAACATCACAGTGTACTATTTCAATAATAAATCTAAGTGTATCATTATGTGTTTTATGTAATTTAATCTATATTAAGTGAGTGAAAACGTTACGTAGATAATTAAGTTGAAAAAACTGCGTTAATGTGGAGGGCACGGACCTGCAAAAATTCTTGGTAGAGGGCCGATTATACCCTCTTTTCCATAAATACCTGTAGTTTTATGTATAATCAGTAATCACAATGCAGCGCAAAAGACCGAGACGGTTACGCTCAATGAGCCACCCTTAAGAAAGGTAACGCTTTAACAATCGTAAATGTAAAAGTTCAAGTCATAACGCTGGGGAAAGAATACGCATATCAAAATGGATTCGCCAAAAATCGTTTACAAATATTATTCAAACCCCGCCTTTTGTGCTCAAAGCGAGGTGGTTTTCGCGCAAAAATCTTGCGTCACAAAGATCGTCTCCCCGAATAGAAGAATGCCTCCATTAGGAGGCAATTCTCCCAGAAAAAATGAAATCGACAACCGAATAGTCAGAACCGATATTTCTGATAATCCTCTACGGTTGACACCTGGTGCAAGAATGAGGGAAGAGCCTCCAGAATTGCCTCCAAAACCGCCAAAGTACCAAAGGCAGTTTCAAAGACAAGCGTCCTTAATCTGCAAGCCGACTAGACAAATCGTACGATGTAGAACACGCAGTGAGGATTTAGAAATGGCGCAATTAAGGCAAAGACAGACAACAAAATATGAAAGAAACGCTGATAGCGATGACGGTCTAGAAGATAATAGACTGAAACATAGATATGAAGTTATCAGAGACTTTGATGATCTCACAGACTATTCACCGACAAAGAAGAGAATAGTAGAAGCTGACGCTAGTGAAATAGAAGAGTATAATGTAGATGGACCAGACCAAAATGAATTGAAAGAAATACCAACGGAAATAGTAAAAACGGTAAACGGAAAGACGCATAGATACGCGATAGTGCCCTCCGATGATGAGGAGCCGAGGAAAATGAACGTAACATTCTCATCTCCAATTATGTCGCAGAAGAACCTGATAGCGACTCAAAAACTCCATGAGTTGCTATCGACACCCAGGAAATTAAAAAGTTATGCGAGCCAACCTTCAGTGATAATGACACCGAACAAACAGACAAGTCCAAACACGTATATAGATACTCCGAGGAAGTTTATCGCAAGTACACCAACAAAAGGGGTTACACCTTCTAAATCTTGTGCTAATTTAACTCTGATGAGAGTTGGTACCTCCCCAATCTCACCAAAAGCGCAACAGAAATTAAATTACGGTTTACCCGAAGAGTTGGAAAGGCAAGACGTATTTGTGACAAGTATAAGAGATAAAAGTCGTGATAGGAGTTTTGATATGGACAGGAGAGAAGCGAGCCGAGACAGCAGAATAAAATACGATGCTAAAGGAAGAGATGGTCAAAGGAGAGACAAAAATACAGCTATCATTATGCCCAGGTACGTCAACTTTTGACGATTTTTTATTTTACCATATTATAGTAACTTTACCCTATGAATAAACAGGTTACAGTATGATGTAAACGATAGATACGGATGATTAACTTGCTTTGATCATTGGGGGGTATTTGTCATAGTTGCCACGCTTGGCGAGCGGGTTGGCAACCGCAGTTTTTTTATTGTAATTTTGGCTATTATCAGGAAGATGCTGCTGCCCATCTCCTGCCTGTTTCCCTTTGTCGCCTTTTACGACACCCACGGTAGTGGATATTCTTGACCGCCACTACACGGCAATTAACTTGTATTTTATTAATTAATCTATGATTATCGCAGTGTTCTATCTCGCTTCCACAACAACATGACCGGTCAATTTTATTTTGTAAATATTATTTGCTTTTCATCCATTGCAGCCTCTAAAAGTCCACTGCTGAACATAGGCCTCCCCTATAGACTCATATGGAGGATTTTGCCATTTTGTTGACGTTGTCAACCGCAGTTTATTTATTATTTTGAGTTGTTATGTGAAAGATGCTGCTGCCCATCTTCCGCTTTGGCTTTCCTCTGTCGCTTCTTACGCTATCCACGGGACGATATGCAGTAGTAGATATCTTTACAGCATAGAATAGAATAGAATAGAATAATTTTTTATTCAATATAGATCACATGTGTAATTCTTATTGAAAGTCATTTTTTACTTTACCACTGGTTCGAAAAAAAACCTCTGTCCTGGGACGAACCAGCAAGAAACCCAGCGGGACTTAAATAAGCGCCACTATACTCTGTTTTTATTTGCTTTTAAAAATTAAAAAAACAAGTGCTTACACATTAAAGTGACTCCGAGTGACTTTTATTGTAACTGAATGACTGGTATGTTTGTAAAATGAGTAGGAAGGCAAACTACTAAGAAACTATTTATTTGTGACCATCGTTACGTGTTATGTTACGATACACTTTTTTACATACTAGCAATGCTATTAACATTAATATTCCCTTTAACCACTACTGGAAAGCACAAAATACTCTGGCGGAGTGGTTCACGACGGTAATCGAATGGTGGATTCGAATCCAAAACTTTTTGAGTTCGCGATTCGCACACTGCCTTTAGGCTACTGTCGCGTCAAAATACATGTAAATTGTAAATACACGAAGTTTTCGTGGTCCACTTTTTGCGGGTATGGGCTTAGTTACTAAAAGATAAGGTACTAGACTTATCTAGTAACTTATCTTTTAGTAACTAAGCCCATAGGCTAGCTAAGGTTATCAGTGGCCACTACACGGAAAACTTTTTTTTGTTTAAAAATAATTTGATACGGAGTAACAGCTGTCGTTTACTTTAAAATATGGCAAAACAAAAAAAGGAATAATGACGTCTTTAGAGAATCCATACTTATCCAAACTTACTCGTAGCCAGTTTGGGATAGGGACGCCATTCTATGTCCCTATGTCCAGTCAGAACTTATATTTGCCCGATAAAAAAAAAATCATAACAATTTGCAGCTTTAACCAACCCACAATACTTTAAGCTACCGTTGCCCGTGCGCCCGTTGCACTTGCACCTGTGGGCTGCGAGCAAGGGGTCAGGCCGACAAACGAGAAATTATGTCGCTAGATTGTTATAAAACTGCTCCGTCCAGCATTGCCACCTTATGTTTTTATTGGTTATTTTACATTCCCGCCAGATATTATAGAATTTTTTTTCCACCTGCAGCATGTTTTATTTCGCGTCTAATGCTTTTGAAAAATATTACCATCAAGGTAACTGTCCCGTCGGGACCCTAGCCAAATATGGCACTTAACTCTACAGGAGTGAAAAAGGCTATACCTATTTATGATCTATTCCATCCGCAATGTTTTTGTGAGACCGAGATAATATTCATTCGTTGATAGGAGATTGAACGTGATAGAGCCATGCTGCAGCTACATTAGTAGTATAGTTGTAGTACGAATGGGTCGGCTCGACCGGGGAAGGACCACGCTCTCACAGAATACCGGCGTAAAATAGCAGCTTAACACTGCTGTGTTTCGTATGGTGAGTGTAGAGAACCGGATACCCTTTTTACTGGAAGAGGCATTCCATCTTAGTCCTCACGGGTGACAATGCATCTGCAGTTTGATTCGCAAACGAGGATAGATGTAGAAGTCTATGGGCCACAGCAACCACTTACCATCAGTTGGACTGTGTGCTCGTTTGTCACCCTATCCTATAAAACACACATCCTATTTTACGCTGGTATTCTGTGAGAGCGTGGTCCTTCCCCGGTCGAGCCGACTCATTCGTGCAACAACTATACTATTAATATAGCTGCAGCACGACTCTACCACGTATAAGTACCTCGTATCTCGGATAGCAGATAAAGCCGTTGGTCATGCGCCTGATCTTTCTCCGGTCGTTTCGGATTGCCGTCCGATCTTACTATGAAAGTGAAGGGACGGAGTGCACCTGTGCTTGCGGCATACACTGAAGCACCTGGCAACTTCGCCGAGCGCGTGGCGAAGCAGCATTTTAATATTTCTGATTACAATATAGTTTATCACATAGGAGAACGAAACCCTCTGTACGTAATGGGCTGGTGGATTCCCTTACCTGTACGTGTATATAACGGACATATTTTTAGGCATATTGCACACACAGAGGTGTGTGAGATTTAACGTAGTTAAAGTCCCTGGGCCATTCTCACCGTTCAGAAGATCCTAGGCGGCTTCTCAACGCCCAGAACATCGAACGACCCTTGTTCGGATGGCGGTTAGAGAACTCAACCGTCATGATGTGATCACAACAACACAAGAGTATTGGTTTTAGTGCAACGTTGCACTAAAATCAAATTTATAAATATATAAAATGATGGAGCGTGAAGAAAGCTAATTAAACGTTGTGAAAAGATTTTTTTTCATCGAAATCGATTTCCTTTCTAACCCATCATGAAAGGTATCGTTAGTACTATCGTCTTTTCGTTCTGTTCGTTTTCGGGAGTGTTTCACAAACACCCGGCATGTGTTACAAATACATTAAATTAAATAAAACATTCATTATTTACGTTCATACTGCCAATGTCATACACACAATAGTCTGTGGTCAAACAGTCCCACAGAGTACCTAGAGATAGTAGCTAAATAATTTTGAAATGTTGAAAACAAGTAAAGACTGCGTAATTTTGTGTGATTTCAAATGTTCCTTTTTCAATAGTCGTAATAAATTTGTTATAATATTTTTTCAGAGTGGCTCCACAAAGTCCGTCCGTGTACTCTGAAGAAACGTACAAATCGCTATCAAGCCTGAAGGCAGTGAATAGTTCGTTAGCTTCGTTAACTATTGCTGCTCTAATGTTGACGTTATGCGGCGGTTTGACAACAGGACTAAGCTTTTATATGATGTATAGCGTAAGTATTTACTGATTTTTATGTAATATATATAAAGAACTGATAAATAATCATAATACATACGTAATATAAAAAAGGATACGTATTAGGTAGTATGAATAAGGGATGATTTATGTGCCACGTACACCATGTGCTAAATCGAAGTAAAGTAATGCTGTTTTTGCAAAGTATCGCCTGATTCTATGTCTGTAAAGTGTAAAAGGTTATTTAAGCGATTAGTATTATCTGTAAACAAATATTTAGATCCTATTGTTTACAAATGGTGGGCAAATATTTGAATACTTGACAATGAACGACAGAAGTCTAATGGCAGGGTGCGGACCGCAAACTCTAAAGGTCGTGGGTTCGAATTCACCATTCGACTACTGTCGTGAACCAGTCCTAACACAAGCATTTTAGGCTTACCGGGAGTGGTTAAAGGGAATATTTGCAATGTTTTTTTACGTGGTAGAGCCATGCTGCAGCTATATTAGTAGTATAGTTGTAGCACGAATGGATCGGCTCGACCGGGTAAGGACCACGCTCTCACAGAATACCATTGTAAAATAGCAGCATAACACTACTGTGTTTCGTATGGTGGCATTCCATCTTAGTCCTCACGGGTGACAACGCATCTGCATTTTGATTCGCAAACGAGGATAGATGTAGAAGTCTATGGGCCACAACAACCACTTATTATGCTTGTAGCACGAATGGGTCGGCTCGAACGGGGAAGGACCACGCTCTCCCAGAAAACCAGCGTAAAATAGCAGCTTAACGCTGCTGTGTTTCGTATGGTGAGTGTAGAGAACCGGAGACCCTTTTTACTGGCAAAGAGGCATTCCATCTTAGTCCTCACGGGTGACAACGCATCTGCATCTTGAGTCTTTATTGAGGATAGATGTAGATGTCTATGGGTCACAGTAACCACTTACCATCAGGTGGACTGTGTGCTCGTTTGTCACCCGATTCTATAAAAAAAAAAAACTTACCATCAGGTGGACTGTGTGTTCGTTTGTCACCGTATCCTATAAAAAAAAATGTTCATAACATTGCGAGTATTTATTAAAAAAATTACATTATGATGTATATCATCATCACCATCATCAATACAATCCTTCACCTAACCTTCATGACATGACATGCATGTCTTATACCAGGTCATCAGTCCATCTAATGGAGGGCCGCCCTACATTGCGCTTACCCGTACAACGCTTTCCCATTGGTTGTGGGTTTCCTAGCTTCCGCCTCATAGCCACTTCAGCTTAGTATTCTGTTGTGCTGTCGGTTTCTCTGGTTCAACTATCTCATCCTCATTACTAACGAAGTCCCTCATATATAGACAAAATCTGAACATAACCCACGCCATAGCTCGCGGAGCGACTTTGAGCTTCCTCATACAGTGAATCTCTTAGATTCATACATCATCATATTATCACAATTTGCAGCCTGAGTTCAGGATAATTTGTACTTAGAAACTTTTGTCTGTTATAATAAAAATAATCTTTATTCTTTTGTCATACAGATGGGTCGCCGTTTCTACCTCGACTTCGGTGTGCTGTCAGGCTTTACATGTTTTCTGCTAGGACTGTTGGGCTTGAGATCGCGAAGAAGTCAGCTGTTGCCTAATAGAAATTACATTTCTGGTAAATATAAATTTATATTTTCATATGGCCACCTTTTTTACCAGCGCGTTAAAGTATAGAATAGAATAGAATAGTTTCATTCTATTTAAAAAAAAATTTAAATTAAGTACATGTAATTCATATATAATATAATTCAGTTACAATGATTGGTTTAGTTCTCAGGAGTAAAAAACATATTTGTATTAGGATTCCCAAATAAGGACTAATTTCAAGCATAGACTTCTATAAAAATAAATTCGTGTTTAACTACACATCCAAACAATTACCCTATTGATTTGCACGTGAAATTTTACACCGTACCAGTAACGTATCCATTTTACCGCGAATTCCATTATTGTAGGTAGTAAAACTATTTTAGAATCACATAATACCTAATCCACACGCACCCGCATAACTTACACAAAAGCCGCAAAATGTATGGTGTACCTACATAATATTTTATTTCACTGCTGTTGTAGCTAGACATGGTTTTTAAGGATGCGGGTTTTTCATTTTCTACAGGCACAACTTTCGCACAGATTAATTATAGATAATTGTGGATCTGGTATGGATCAATTATCGCTTATCTTTAACCAAGTTAAAAAATAGAAGGTTCTATATTCCACACTTATTTGTATGTGTATTTACCGATATCTCTGCCGATATAAATGATTCTTTTTTTTACTAAATATTAAATATTAATTATTTATTTCAAAAATCCTTTGATAGGGTGGAAATATGGGGGATGAATATTTTACTGCACCTACCTATTTCAACGAAATTCTAGTATTTAACTTAAAGTTATGCAAATATCTATAATATAAAAATGAATCGCTGAATGTGTTGCTAAGGAGTTGTAAGCGCAAATCCCGAGAGCGGCTGATCCGATTTCGCTAATTATTTTTTATAATATTCCTTGTAGTACGAAGATGGTTCTTACGGAGAGAAAAATTTAAAAAATGCCTGTAAAAGTCTAAAAACTAAACTCCAAACTCTTATTTTACCTATCTTTGATTATACAGATGTGTGCTACTCAGACCTGTCCCAAGAACTTCTTAACAAGCTAGAACAGAGCGCCTGCTTAACAGCTGTATAAGATTTATTTTTGGTCTGCGTAAGTATGACCATATTTCTCAACATACTTACATAAAGGCGCAACTCCAGTGTACACGCCCCTAGCTGCCCCAACCAAGGATGACGGGATTAGGGCCCATGAGTAATCCCATCGACGAGCAGCAGAGGGACGGGGCCAGAATATGGCCACGTGGAATTTCCTAATTACAATAAACAATAAGGGAGAAAGCTAGAAATACGTAGTACTTACCATTATCCGAAGCTAACTTCGCACCAAGGCTTGGGCAGGCCGTGAGTGTGTATAATAGTGGATGGCGAGTAGTGTACAGTGAGGTGTGAATGCGTGGGGCCTTGGCAAGCATAGGCGACCAGCAGCGGCCGAGTTCCAGGCTGCTTCAAATTGAGGTCTTCCGCGGCGTTGTCCACAGTCACTTTCCTCGTTCGTCACGATGACAGTCCATTAACTCTATCGTACGATTAACTAACTTACAGAAGCCACTAACTCTCGTTTGTCATAAGGTTAACGCACAAAACGAACACGGAGTGTCCGGATCAAAGGTCACTACCGTTTCGCGTAGCAACAGTTATTTCTAGAATGTCAAAGGCCGCACTAGATAATATTGTCGAATGCACCTATACAGATTCCGAGTCAAACCCAATGAGTCCCGGGGAAGCTCTACAGCAAGGAATACGCGTCACAAATCCTAGACAGTACATTTACGAGCCGGGCCTAATTATTCCAAATTCCCGACAAAAAATGACAGCGTGCTGTCCCAAGCACAGCTGGCAGACGACTCTTTCGCCTTTACGCGTTCTCAACCCACCGCTCGGCCGACGTCAAAACTGGTATGGCACCGAGCCGCGCGCCCTCTCGCGTTAGTTCCTGAAATCAGCGTTTGGCGCGAATATCCAGAATATTACTTGTTCTTTTCTCAATTCTATCTTTTTATTTCTGTCCCAAGGATGTGTCCGATTTATCGTCCACAAGTCTCTCGTTAATAACGTTGTAAAGATTGAGAGTGTGTCGACGAGGGTTGTGTACCTTATACTCAGAATCACCAAACGGTATTCGCTGAAGGTCATACAGGTTTACGCACCAATCTCGGCACACCCCGATGAGAAGGTGAAGGAAATGTATGAGGATATCTCTAGAGCCATGCATTCCTCTAAAACCAAATATACGGTGTTAATGGGAGACTTCAATGCAAAACTAGGCACACGAGAGAACGGTGAGCTGAAAGTAGGGAAATTTGGAATAGGGCAACGGAACCCAAGGGACCTGTAGCTGGCCGACTTCATGGAGAAAGAGGGACTCTTTATGATGAACTCTTTCTTCCAGAAGCGGCCCCACAGGAAGTGGACTTGGTCGAGCCCCGACGGTTCGACAAAAAATGAGATTGATTTCATTATGACGACCAGACGACAACTGTTCAGTGATGTCTCCGTGATCGCGAGGGTGAAAACTGGTAGCGATCACCGAATGGTCAGAGGCACACTGAACCTAAACGTTAAGTTGGAGAGGTCTTGTCTAATGAAGTCAACGCTCCGTCCCCCTCATGCTCTGTTCCAAAGTCCCGAAACCTTTCAGCTCGAGTTACAAAACCGTTTTCAGTGCCTAGAAGACTGCAATGAAGTGGACGATATGAATGACAAGCTCGTGGAAACTGTACATGCGGTCGGAGCTAAGTTCTGCAAGACCCGCCGCAGAGTAACACAAAAACTCTCCGATCACAATCTCATGGCTGTTATACGGGAGATGAAGCTACATTCTTTAACAGATTTGACAGCATACAGGCAACTGAACAGACAGGTCTCCAAATGCATGCGGTGGGACTTACGCAACTTCAATACAGCTTGTATTGAAGAAGCGATCGAGCGGAAACAAGGCTCCAAAGTCTTTACCAGAGATCTGTCTGCCAGAAAGAGCCAACTGTCAAAGCTGAAGACCGAATGTGGCAGCATCGTCGCTGTCGGCACCTGAGATTTTGAGTGAGATTGAGAGGTTCTATGGGCAGCTGTACACGTTATCGTTGGAGCCACACGCAAGTATGAGTAACGATCCAAGGGCGAGTCTTATCCGACACTATTCCGAAGATATCCCGGACGTCAGTCTGAGCGAGTTTAGAATGGCTCTCCAGCACCTTAAAAACGGCAAGGCCCCAGGCGAGAATGGAATTACAGCGGAGCTTCTGAAAGCGGGTGGAAGACCGGTTCTTGAAGTCCTTCAGAAGCTCTTTAATTCCGTCCTCCATGGAGGCATTACACCGGAGGCGTGGAGCAGAAGTGCGGTGGTCTTGTTCTTCAAGAAAGGTGACAACGCTCTCTTGAAGAACTACAGACCGATTTCCCTTCTGAGCCGCGTCTACGTGCTGTTGTCGAGAGTCAGCCTCCCGAACAAGCCAGTTTCCGAAAGGGCTTTAGCACCATAGACCGCATAGAAGTCCGAAGAGTACAATTTACCACTATGTCTGGCGTATGTGGACTATGAGAAAGTCTTTGATTCCGTCGAAATTTGGGCGGTGCTGCAGTCCCTTCAGCGGTGCTAACTTGACTTTCGGTATATCGAAGTGCTGAAGTATTTGTACAGTAGAGCTACGATGGCTATCCGAGTACAGAACCAGAGTACGAAACCTATCCAATTGCAGAGAGGTGTAAGACAGGGTGATGTGATATCCCCGAAACTCTTCACCGCTGCATTGGAAGACGTTTTCAAGCTTCTGGACTGGAAAGCATACGGTATTAACATTAATGGCGAGTACATCACTCACCTTCGATTTACCGACGATATAGTCTTTATGGCAGAATCGCTGGAGGACCTAAGCACTATGCTCAATGACCTCAATAGTGTTTCCCAACGGATAGGTCTTAAGATGAACTTGGACAAAACAAAGATCATGTTTAATGTCCATGTCACACCTATGCCGGTAGTTGTTGGGAACACTAAGCTCGAAGTTGTTGACGAGTATGTTTACCTGGGACAAATATAGTCCGACTAGGTAAGTCCAACTTCGACCGAGAGGTCAATCGACGGATTCAACTCGGCTGGGCAGCGTTCGGGAAACTACGACACATCTTCTCGTCAGACTTACCTCAAAACCTTAAAACGAAATTGTACAACCAGTGCGTGTTGCCAGTGATGACTTACGGATCTGAGACGTGGTCCTTCACTGCTGGCCGTATAAAGAAGCTCAAGGTCATTCAGCGAGCTATGGAGAGGGCTATGCTCGGGGTTTCTCTGCGTGATAAACCCCGACATAGCCCAACGGATTAGTAAGCTGAAGTGGCAGTGGGCCGGCCATATAGCTCGAAGAACCTACAACCGATGGGGAGGAGAGGTTCTTGAGTGGCAGCCTCGTACCGGTAGGCGAAGTGTAGGGCGACCCCCCAAGAGATGGAGTGACGACCTGGTAAGATATGCAGGAAGTCGATGGATGCAGGTGGCTCAAGACCTACAATAAAAAAAACAACTACAAATACAACCTCGCAACATGGTCGTTTTCACCCTCACGGTGCGGTGGCCAGCGATTGGTTTCGTGGTTGTAGGGTAGGCGGACGTTTTGCAGTGGTGTGTTTTAATTTCACAGCAAATATCTGCGTACGTCAGGTGGTGATTGATCGCATGACGTGATCGCTCTCTACGTAATTGTTGCTTCCGATTCGGCAGAAAAGCCTCATAAGCCAATGCCAGTCTCACAGGTGGTGTTTAGTGGGTAGGCACTTAGATTAGGTTAGGTTAGTCGCAGTGTGTCCCACATAACCACGACAGCGGGCTGTCGTGGTATGCTTAGAGCATTCACCACCTCCCTCCCTCCTCGCTTTCCGTGGTGTAGCCCTTTTCAAATGCTTCTGGGCGCAAAAAAAAACTCGCCGCTCACTTAGCGGCCAGCCTCCGCAGAGTCTACTTCACCTGAGGATGCCTCGTGTAGAGGCGAAACACGTGTCGTATTTTCGAGAGTGGTGTGTCGTGCCTAGTGTGGTGGTGCTGGGGATGGTAGTGCTGGGATTGACGGCGACAGGTATAGTGCGCGCGATTAAGGTAGGGTGGGAGGTCCCCTTAAAACTTGGCAGGACACATCATTTTCTTTCTTTACGCGGAATTAAGCAAATTAGTTTATAACAACCCCAATATTATTACTATTAATTAATTTTCACATTTTTAACTTAGTGTATTGATATTAACTTGCACCAAAGAACAGTGTCATTTTAATGATTATGAATTTTTGATATTGTAGGAAAACAATATTGATGTTGGTTACAATTATTTTTTTTACCTGATCGTAATAAAATGATGGTGATGACTACTAAAAAACTAATACTTGTTAAAAATGATTGTGACAAGATTTAAGTATTTTTGATCTATACGGTAATTGGTTATAGCTTATTATTGCACCAATTTGATTTGGAATTTTAGAAGAATGTATTTTTGTTTGTTATATTTTAGGTTTTTGTCTAAAGTAATTACTGTGACAAGATTTAAATAAAAAACTTAAGTAAAGTACGTAATCAAGGATTTTTGACATATTTTCAAGTTTCTATGAAAAATTTAATAATGGGGAGCAACTTTGCCACTGGCGTAAACTTTGTTACTTGCAAAACTATTAAAGGAGCAAATCATAACTCGGATAGTTTAATTATATTATGAGGTAAACTTATCTTCATCCTTGAAGTCAAATCCTGTTATTTTCATTAAAACCCTGATGGCAAAGTTGCTACAAAGTAAGGTTAACTTTACCATTTTCTATTTTTTAATATTTTTATTTTGTCTAATTAGTGTTAGTATTTTTCAAAATCACTAACAAATACCAAATTTAATAAGAATATAATGTCACATTTATCATTGACGGCCTGTCTGAGAGTACCTACATTTTTTGTTGGAAAATTAGTCCTTGATTTTTAAGTCCTTCCAAAAATGGCAAAGTTGCGAGGTTGTACGGTAGTGAAAAAAAAATGAAAACCTGTTTATAAGATGTATTATAATTAACACAGACGAATAATAATTACACAAACAATTAACATGAAAGACGATAATATACCTAATCACCACTGAGCCATGTGTTTTTCTGTTCTATGACTAAGGCCTTAAGTTGTGTATCGCTAGCAACGCAAAGTCGGGAATTTGTATTTGGAAAAATCCAAAATTAGGGGCTTTTTAGGTGCTAATTAGGTGCCAAGTTTAAAAATTAGGTGCTCTAAAATTTTCACCGCAACGAACTGTTGAAATTTGCGTTGCTAGCAAAACGTCTCGCTAGCAACGCAATGAAGTTATTAGATATACGATAGATATTAATAGCAAGGAATTAAGTGCTAATTAGGTGCTGCAAGTATACGCAATTACAAGGCGCCCCTAATAAAAATAAAGTCGTTATTCAGAACATAGCCGATCTAAAATTCAGATTTCCTGAAAATCAAAATACAATCAAAATTGCTTTCAGAAAAAGTCCAAATTAGGGGCTTTTTAGGTGCTAATTAAGTACCAAGTTTAAAAATTAGTTGCTCCAAAATTTTCACCGCAACGAACCATTGAAATTTGCGTTGCTGGCAAAACGTATCGCTGGCAACACAATGAAGTTATTAGATATACGATAAATGTTAATAGCAGGGAATTAAATGCTAATTAGGTGCTGCAAGTATACGCAATGACAAGGCGCCCTATAAAGTCGTTATTCCAAACAAAGCAGATGCAAAATTCAGATTTTCTGAACGTCAGAAAATAATCAAAAATGCTTTTAGAAAAAGCCCAAAATAAGGGCTTTTTAGGTGCTAATTAAGTACCAAGTTTAAAAATTAGGTGCTCTAAAATTTTCACCGTAACGATCGATTGAAATTTGCGTTGCTGGCAAAACGTATCGCTAGCAAGATATACTAGATATACGATAAACATTAATAGCAAGGAATTAAGTGTTGATTAAGTGCTGAGCGATTATCGAAACCCGATACAGATTAAGATATTATTCATAATGTATGAACGGTATTTTTTGTTATTTATCAGTGCCTAAATATTAAATGCTAATTAGGTGCTGAAAGATTATTGAGGTCGCATGTAGATGACGGTAATATTCTGGAAATTATCGGATTCAAAACCACAATTACTATAAGGTATGAACGGCATTTTATGTTTTTCAGATTTAATATAATCTATAATATTATTTAATATAATTTTCAACTAAATAAATGTTACTATTCTTATTTTTAAACAGGTGAAGCCTAAACTTTAGTGTAGATATATATACTAAATCGTATAAAAAAAATATTATATATACTAATATATATACTAAATCGAAAGGATATTTTCTTTCCAGTAAATTGCTTTGACCTTTACAAGAGTACCTTTAACCGACGAGCGTGTATGCGTAGGTATATGGATGTGGAGGAAGCGAGAGAGGTGTGTCAGGATCGTGCCAAATGGAAGTCCATAATCTCTGCCTACCCCTCTGGGTGACAGGCGTGAGTGTTTATGTATGTTTATGTATGTAAATTGCTTTGTAATAAATAGCGCCATCTACAACGTTCTATAGTTCTAGTCATTTTATCGAATCAAAATCGATGGACTATCGAGGTGGTAAGTACGATAGACGCTAGATGGCACAAACACAAAGACCTGATTTTTGCATTTGCTTTACTGAATAATTTTCTGAATAACGATTTTATTTTTATCTGGGGCGCCTTGTCATTGCCTATACTTGCAGCACCTAATTAGCACTTAATTCCTTGCTATTAATATTTATCGTATATCTAATTACTTCATTGCGTTGCCAGCGATACGTTTTGCCAGCAATGCAAATTTCAATGGTTAGTTGCGGTGAAAATTTTGGAGCAACTAATTTTTAAACTTGGTACTTAATTAGCACCTAAAAAGCCCCTAATTTGGACTTTTTCTGAAAGCAATTTTGATTGTATTTTGATTTTCAGGAAATCTGAATTTTGCATCTGCTATGTTCTGAATAACGACTTTATTTTTATTAGGGGCGCCTTGTTATTGCGTATACTTGCAGCACCTAATTAGCACTTAATTCCTTGCTATTAATATTTATCGTATATCTAATAACTTCATTGCGTTGCCAGCGATACGTTTTGCCAGCAACGCAAATTTCAACAGTTCGTTGCGGTGAAAATTTTAGAGCACCTAATTTTTAAACTTGGCACCTAATTAGCACCTAAAAAGCCCCTAATTTTGAATTTTTCCAAATACAAATTCCCGACTTTGCGTTGCTAGCGATACACAACTAAGGCCTTAGCACAAAATTTCGACCGAACAGCGGCGAACTATGGCGGCCGTAAATGGACCTTACGATTTGTAATACAAATTCTATTATAAATACGATATATATATTAGATAATAAATTTAACAATTTTTTAACTCCTTTGATTTTATACTTGCAACAAGCAAAACTCTCAGATAATTTTTTTTTGCAGGTTACATAGTACTCTCTTCGTTCTCTCTACTCAGCGCCTTTGGTTTGCTCATTTTGCTGACGGTACAACCGAAGCCCGGCACAGCGCTCAATGACATCACCTCAGGAGCCGTGTGTAGTATCAGCATACTTTCTTTGTGCCTCGCAACAATCGGTTTGCTAGCTTCATATTGTTGCGCTAGAGATCCACCTGATAACAGAGTTGGTACAACTAGGTGGTATTAGATTATTAAATGATATATTTAAATTTTATTCTACTAGGTACTTATGTATCTCAGAAGGCTGTTTAAATGATAGCCTTTTCCTTTCAATAAGGAAAAATTATTAGAGATATCTGTGACCTATTCATATTAATAGAAAGTATATGAGGTTTTGACAGGAATTTTAACTCAAACAGATTGCAGCTCCTGAGTTGTATTTCAAATTATTATAAAAGCTTACTCAGTTTAAGAATATTGTAAACATATTTTTGTAATGGTTTGTACAGCTGTAACAAGTGGTAGTTTTTACTGGCTATGAAATCGATATCACTATAAATTAAATCTAAGTATTTATTTTTCTTTAATCTTTTAATAAAGGTGGTAGTATTGTTATAAATATATAGGAGACTTTTGGCAAGATAAATTAGGCAACTTTTGCTTCTATGTGAGTCTGTGGCTGCTGGTCTGTCTGATGTGTAAGCTGCCGGCAAAATCCAGAGTTTAATGTAATCTCAGAATAATAACGAAAGCACATATCTTCGAATCAATATCTATTTATTCAATATCTATGAGAATATCAATATTATTTTGAAAATAATTGTAAATAAGATATCTTACGTCAGACTAAGTTTTGTAAACATTGAATTTAATTGTCCTAGCTCCAGAAAATTAAATTTTTTATAATGTAAAACTATATATTTAACTAATGTAAAACGTCGCCTGACCAGAAAAATAAACACCCTGCAATGAGGATGCTCTTTGCTGTTGTTGGTATATAGGTGCCGAAGGTTTTTATTTTCCTGATCAGCCCATTTTACTATTTTTGTGTATAAAATTTGTTTTTATACTTAATTTTATGTGGTTAGAAGTAAGTTTGTGTAATAATAATAAAGGAAAAATATCTACTTATTTATAGGCACCAAAGACATATTTATGTTGAAACTAGTAAGGTTCTTTATTTCGGCTTATTGTTTTTATTTAAGTTATTTTTATGCCATATTGCATATCGTAAAAGATCTCTTTTAAAATAGGTAATATGGCATAATTTTATGATTTAAGTGATAAACTTATGTATAAATATCGCAAATATATTGTAACTCGCCCGTTTTCGTCCGCGCCCGCTTACAAATTGATATTAAACGTAGGTATTTCTGAGCGCAATGTTTAATTTTTCAGGGTGACCATGGTTTCTTATAAAATTCTATTGCTTTGCAGTTAAAGTAAGTATAAGTAGAATTTACTTCGTCGTCCCTCCTCCTCCTAATACTAACTCGGAGGTTTTTGAATGTGTATCAATTCTCGTTTGTTTTATGAACGGATGGCGCCTTTTGTAAACGGACGAGTTTTAGATTTTGCATGTGACTTAATGATGGAACTCTTTAAGCGCTACGTAGTAAGTAGTATAAGTAATCCAAACAAAAACAGTTTCACTGTAAAGCATCGCGCCAAGTACACTTTCAACTATAGTTACAAAAATAATAATTACATTTTTACAAAAAATTATAAAATAAAAAGAAACCAAGTACATACCCGTTTTAGATTCGAAAAAAAATTTTGCTGAAAAAAGTAATAATAAAAAAATGGTGTACTTGGTGTGCATGATTAAGAGTATCGATCACCCAACTTGACATTGGAAGTCGTTTTTTTATTACTTTTTTGAGTGATGCTCGTACTATAAAGTACCTATAATGCACACCAAGTACATCATTTTTTTATTATTACTTTTTTCAGCAAAATTTTTTTTCGAATCTAAAAGGGGTATGTACTTGGTTTCTTTTTATTTTATAATTTTTTGTAAAAATGTAATTATTATTTTTGTAACTATAGTTGAAAGTGTACTTGGCGCGATGCTTTACAGTGAAACTGTTTTTGTTTGGATATCATATCTTTTTGTAAAGTACACAATTTCTTTTTTTTTTTTGCAAGTATCGCACACCTCATACCGCGAAGCGGTTTAGGTTGTGCTTTAACTCTCAACATGTCAAGGTCCAGAAATTTTTTGCTCTTTAACTACCTCTACATCTACAACTGATTTGCACTCATACGATAAATCACAAAGTAAAATGCCTCTGCATTTATTATTATAAGTAATAATTTCCAAAGCAGTAGTCTCTTAAAACTACAAAAGACAAACGGACAGGCAAAATTTCAACACTGTTTTAATATCTTTTGATAGGTTAGCAAGTATACACAGTAAATAACATTAAATCCAAAATTATTTGGTTATAACATACCCATTATTGATTTTAGACATTAATAAATAAACAGCAAGTTACATGTTTTAAAATGGTTATGATAAAAAAAAAACACAATACATAATATCACTGTATTTACTATTGTTCATTATTATTTTCGTTTCTTCAAAGTAGCACAAACAATCAGGTGTGGTGTATACTTTGTTTACATAATGTATTGATTGATTGGTTAGTATACATCCTAAACACCATTTATGTTAAACAGACAGGCACAGTATGTGTACTTTGTTTTAAAATATGTTAACAGATTATTACCCACACCCCCAACACCATTAAAGCCAATGACTAGGTAATAACATGTTTATCTATGTTAGTACACACTGATAAATAAGATGTTCAAACTGGACATATGACAGAGACAATAACATGTCTTTATGATTTTGTTATGAATCACAAGCACATTTTCAACAATAACAGATATGAGATTAAACTGTTGTTTTCAATATCTATAAATTGCATATTCATATTTCTGTTGTCTTTCCATATTCTGTTGTACCTACCGAGAGGTCTGCAAGCTTTCAGCCTGCAAGGCATACTGATTTATTTTAAACTGTCCACCTGAAAAAAGTTAATGAAAAATCAGTAAAAATAAAAAAGTTAAAAGATATAAATTCTGAAAGAATGTACATAACCTACAATTGATTTTATAGGATGAAGGGTAGGAGAGAGAGATTAGCTGAAGGTGAATCCCCCAGCGAAAGAGTGATTTTTTTATAGGATAGGGTGACAAACGAGCACACAGTCCACCTGATGGTAAGTGGTTGCTGTTGACCATAGACATTTACATCTATCATCGTTTGCGAATCAAAATGTAGATGTGTTGTCACCTGTGAGGACAAAGATGAAATGCCTCTTTTCCAGTAAATAGGGTCTCCAGTTCTCTACACTCACCATACAAAACACAGCAGTGTTAAGCTGCTATTTTACGCTGGTATTTTGTGAGAGCGTGGTCCTTCCCCTGTTGAGCCGACCCATTCGTGCTACAACTATACTACTAATATAGCTGCAGCATGGCTATACCACGTGTGATGCAGAAGCCTAGTTTTTAAATAAAAATATCAATCAATGAAAATACGAAATATATTTATTACAAAGATATAGAAATCCAAAAGAGGAATATGAATTATAATATAATATTATATATTTAATATAATATTTATAATTGAATTTTATATTATAAGAGTGGACTGAAAAACTAATTATTACACTTTATTTACTTTTTTCTTTATTATATATTTTATCCTTATTATAAATAATAACATGCCGAACTAGGAAAAAAATACAAATATTCTTTTTTGACATTGTTTTCCGATTGATATTTGATTGATTCCAGATAATTTCATACACAACTAGGTACTTTTGTAAATATTTTGTGATTCTATTATTTATTTAATTTAGCTTAACTTTAATAGGTAGGTAATTTTATAAACACACTAATAAGGTTATGAGACCTGTGTTTGTCATTTGTTGTAAGTAATTAAACATTTTGGAGGAAATACAAACTCTTGTATTATTTTTCTCTCGTGATTTTTATTTTGATTCATTGACATACTTACCTACTTTTTAGCAGATAAACTTTAATTGAACTTACTACAATTTCAAATACAAACTTTTTCAAACTTTACCACAAATATAGTTTATATAATATTCACTTTTATTTCAATCTCATTCTGTCCTACTTTATCAATTGTTAAACAAAGAAGTTTACACTTTTTAATTTTGCTGGTTTGCTACCATATTGTATTCTTTGTTTGCTATCAAAAAGTAATAAAGTATACAACCACAGTCTATTCCTACAGTCAATGCTATGTCTACAATTTTAAAATATTATAAAGATTTCACTGCATACATATTTATTTCTTTTAATTATTCATTGTTTTATAACCATATATTAGATTTATTATAACTGTAGGTATGAATTTGTTAGTAATATGCATTATAGTCATAAATAATATGTTTTTTTTTATAGGAGTTTATGGCCTGGTATCTAGACCTTTAGGCCAAGTCTTGAGTATTTTTATTCGGTTTATTATAAATAATTATCCTTCATAGTTCACTGCTTCACAATATGTTGATGCGTCACATTGTGCAGCCCTTGAGAGATTTTGACGGCAACTTGAGCCAGCAGACAGCTGTTAGTTGGCGATGGTATCTCAAGGCGCCTATGCAAACAAACAGCTTATCTTGAGAATCCATCACCATCAGAGCACTTGTTTCATTGTTTCCACTAATAGTTCACATGCGTAGACAATTAATACACAAAATCGCACCACTTTTACATATCAAAGTCCACTTCAAACCATTATTTAAACAATAATACAGGAGCAGCAAACCGCCGCTGATCAAGTTCCCGCCAAAACTCTAAATAATATGTACTATCATAATTCAATTGTAATATTATGAAGGTACTATATTTATTAGTATTTTTACAAACAGATTTTAAAACATGTATAGATCTCATAATAAGAAAAGGTAAAAAAATAAAATGTAATACATCAAAAACGAACATGTTTAATTTTCGTTTCCACAATGTATTTTTTTTAGACTGGACCTTCGAATGTGACAAATAAGAGATTATATTCCTCATAAAAATTTAGAACTTTTAAATCGACTGTAGGTTTTGCACAGTTCTGCCTTAAGCTTTGCGCATTCCGTAAGATAAAATACTAACCTCGTGAGAAATCCACGCACAAAAACAGTTGGTGCTCATCTATAGCTGTCTCGGATAGTAATTGTTTTCGAACATTGCGAATTTTTGCAGATTCAATTTTAAAATTGCAAATAAATACAAAAAAGCAGCAACGTGACAAACGTCAATGCCACAATCCAAATCCACAAACACTGCACAAACACAAACTATCGTCAATGTCGTATAGTAGTAAATAAATAATAATACAAAATTAATATATTTCATCTATAATACAAAGAAAGGATCCCGGACCCGAAAGGCAATTACCATAGATAAGGTTATTCGATATACGTCGATACATCGAATTCATTTCACTCGCTGTTTACAATAAGATGTATCGATGTATTTTCATAAAACATCGAATCAGTGATACTTACATACCAATATTAATATTATAACTTCTAAATCAGTAAAACTAAAACATGCTCTAGTTTAGAAGTTATAATATTAAACCTATTAGAGGCGCTAGTTGGCAGCTGTCAGTCCCTTAAGCGGAATCAAGAATTTTTTTTCAAGAGGTCGGCTGGTTGGCATAACTCTGCTAAAGAAAATAAAAAAAATCGTCTGGGCTATCTCGGTCTTAGACCAATTAACCCAAGGGAATCGCCTCGCATGATTATTTCCCTCTGCCAAGGCATCGGATTTAAAAATCTTGTGCGTTTATAAAACCTGTTTACGCAATCATTTATATCATTACATTACGTTGTTTGTTTGAGTTGGATGTCAGGAGGTTGACTACAGATTTGTAGTCTGAAAAATTACACGATTAGGAAAAACATCGATGTTTCTAACCGATACATCGGAATATGTCGATACACAGTCTCGATGCATTACATCGAAGAAAATCATCGATGTATTTTCAAAGTGGAAGCCCCTAACCATAGAGAAATAAATATGTAGGCAATGACAAACTGACAAAATAGGGGTTTTAAGTTTCGTTCCAAGGTCACTTTGAACTATATTTCTAAATTAGCTAATATAAATACATTTAGAAAGATATACCACTGAAAACTTGTACTACTTAATCCTATTAAAACAAGTTTACAGTGGTATCTCTTTACTAATAAATATATTATATACAAATATAATAAATTGGTATCTTTTATATGTGTAAAACCATTAAGTTAAGTTAAAATTTCTAGTGGGCCCAAAACGATTTTCTTCATAGCTTACAGTTATTTTTGGCTTACTTTAAAGTTTTGATGACCAAGCAAGTTGTTCTAACAATAAAATATTTGAAAACCATTGGAAAGAATATTAGGTTTTAAAAAAAATATTAACCTGTATATAGTATACTGATTATTTATTATTATTGATAATTCAACTTACCTTTTGAAACAAACTGTCTTTTCTATTTTTATATTCCAATTTCTCGCCGTATTAATAATTTCATTTAAGTATTATAGTAATATTAATGAATAAATACGAAGAGGATAATTAACCGTATCTAATACTCTAATAGTGTTTATTCAAGAATAATAATGGGTGGGCTTGCTCACAGTGTGACCATCTTTAAAATACAGATCCTGCCTTAGTTTGGTTAAAATCCTGCAAACGTTTATAGTGAAAAATACCTAAATACTGCCATCTTTATTTAACATTGTATAATTGTATTAAACTAAGAAAATTAAAAATACAAATTTAAATGCTATATTTTTATTAATTTTATATATTTATATATTTTTCGTTGGTTTGAATGCAATGCAATCGCCATGCTAATCAATGCCTTGTTTAATACGCAAAATAGAGGCTACATGTTTGTTTATATCTAAATCTGTTTCGTGTTTTTGCACTAATTAAATTTATTTGAAGGAATATTTTTTTAGGGAAGAGGGGGCAAACGAGCATGCAGCTCACCTGATGGTAAGTGACTACCGCCGCCCATGAACAACCGCTTTACCAGGGGAATCACAGGTGCGTTGCCGGCCTTTTAGAAAGGTGTAAGCTCTTTTCTTGAAGGTCCCTAAATCGTATCGGTCCGGAAAAATCGTATACATTACATGCGTAATTCTTATTGAAAGTCATTTTTTACTTTACCACTGGTTCGAAAAAAACCTCTGTCCTGGGAAGAACCAGCAAGAAACCCAGGGGGGCTATTTTTAATAAATTTTACAATACAAAATGATTACAAAATATTTACAAAATTTATTTTAGAAACTGCTTGGAAGCGACCATCTCATTCCCAGGGTTTATTATCAACCATGTATTCATTTATACTATAATAACCCTTTTTTAAAATCGATGTTTCACTTTCGAAAATATCGAGGTTCTAATATCGCTTTTTTATGAGCGATGTTGCATCCCTACCGCCATACCAATATTTTCAAGATACGGTGTCTATCTGCTTAGACGCCTTGAGATAATATTGCCAACTATATGCTGGCTTAAGTTGCCGTCGAAATTGCTAAAGGGCTGCGCAATGTGACGCTCAACATATTGTAAAGCAGTGTAGTATTATAAAGGATTATAATTATTTAATGCTGAGATAAATGAAAACATGGCTTAAGTGACAAGCATCCAAGCCAAAAATCTTGAAAATAAAGAAATGAAACATGGCTTAAAAGACAAGCATTCAAGTCAACAATCTTTAAAAAAAATAAAAAATTCCACCAAAATTAATAAAATCTTTTGTAGAATCGGAAAAGTGCGCAAGCAAAAATTTTAGATCTTGAAAAGTATGAAATAATTGATAGATAGAAATAATTTTTAGTGTTATAAGGAAACAATTGATAAACAAAATGATATATGACTGTATAAAGTGTTGACGTTTCGTTAATAATTAAATATATAAAGTTAAAAATTTGGTGAGGTTATGTTGACATATGATTCGAGAATATATACACAG